TGATTGGTTTGTCTGGAAGAATACGTTAATATCTCAATTTTTCCTCACAAAATTACGACCTTATTTTAACTCTTTGGCCACTTGCAACACTAATAGTCCGGGAGGTAATAACAGATTTCAATAAACCATTTTCGCAAGCTTTATTTTTTGAATATGAGTTATTTAAATAGCATCTAACAGTAAAATCATCGTCTTAAATTCCAGTTGTACGACAGGGGGTTGCGGGAGTGTTGCAATTCTAGTAAAAAAAATATAAAAAAAAAATTATAAAAAAATCATTTTCGCATGGATGAAACTTGGTGTACATGTTGATATAAACATAAAAATATTAGAAAATGTCGTAAAAAAAAAATTTATAGTCGCAAAGTGTGATGCTTATTTTCATATATAAAAATAATAGTCTTCCACCAATAAAACACAACGAAGGTCGTATTTCAAGCTAATAAAGGTGTTCTCGACTAACAGCTAGGTATCTTTACGTTTTCGAAAGATGATCATTGGTGTAAAATTTTAAAAGAACTATTCTGAAGGTAATATTTATGTTATAAATTATTCATTAAATTACTATAACTGCACATTTTACCGTGAAAATCGAAATTTTAGTAAATAGATTAAATACGATAAAATTATGTTGTAGATTTAAAAGTATGTAATACATTAATTATTTGCAATATAATTAAGAGATAAGTTCGAATAGAGTATTTATAATTTCTTTAGTTAAAGTAAGTAAATTTAAAAGCACATAATATCTGTATTTTATTAGAATTTTTATAGAGCTTCTTATTAATTTTTTTTTAACAAATTACCTAATAATAAAATTAGGATTGAAATGAAAACACCGGGTACATATAAATGTAACAGGAAGATAATAAAATTTAATTGTTTTTCAAATTTTAAGAGAAAAGGAAGAGAAGTCAAAAAGTACCACCATGACAGAGATAAACCCAGTTTAATTTAAACAAATACTTACTTTTAAATTTAATTATTTTAAAATACAAAAAAAAATACATCAAATTTCAAATCATTCTTTGGCCATATAAGATATTACTAAAAAAAGTTATTAATTAAATTTTTTTGCAGAAGTAACTACTTCTTTGAAGAAAAATATTAACAAGAGAAAATATTAACAATTTATAAAATTCTTTAATAAATTTCAAAATGTACTGATCTTTGAATTTTTCATAACCTAAATATATTATACCTTGTAGTACAAATGAAAAAAAAAAAAATAGCTAAGCACTAGGTCCAGATATTATTGAATTGAATGGCTAATGATATTGAAAATTTTATCAATAACAGTCAAACACGCTAAAAGAATATATATGATCGAAAGCCACCAGTACTAAAATTTAATTTGACACCCACTGCATCAAAACCCTTTGAACACATACATTTAGATATATTTTACATCTACAAATAAATCTTATTTGACAATAGTTGATTCTTTTTCGCGATATGGTCAGGCTTATCCCCTAGATTGTATAACAAGAATTTTAGTCGTAGAAAAACTCTTAGAATTTATTTCACATCACGGACTACCACAAAAAATTACTACCGACAGTGGAACAGAATTAAAAAATTTCGATTTAGAAGATTTTTGTAAACTACACCATATCCAACTACAATCACTACCGCAAAAAAATAGTGATTCAAATTCCCCAGGGGAACGGTTTAATTCAAGTCTATTAGAACATTATAGATGTTTAAAAGAAGAAAAAAAAACATTTCAAACCAGATCGACTAATTAAAAATTCTGTATTTTATTATAATAATAGAATAAATTCAGTAACAAAGTTCACGCCATTTGAAATAATTAAAGGACACATTGATAATTCAAAGCCCTTTGATTTAGATGATCACTTAATAATTTCTAATTATGTACAAGATCATAAACAAATTAGTAAACAGATATATAACAAAATTAAACAACGTAACGAAGAAGTAAAAGAAAATTTAATAAACAAATTAAATGAAAAGAGATCTGATCCAGATAACTATTTAAATCAAAACTCATGTTTTGTCAAAACAAAATCAAGAAATTAAAAAATTGCCAAAATTTAAAAAGGAAAATTTCATTGAAGATGAAGGTATTTTAATAAAAACGGATAAGGGTACTTATCATAAAAGTATTATTAGAAAACCGAAAAATAATTTAGAAAAATTGTTACAGGATACCAACGAAAATAAAATCCATTTTGATAACGACGTTGTTCCAAGCACAAGCTCTACAAGTCATTTATGTATACCAAATACATAGTACATCTTCTGATATACAAATCACTCCGAATTAAAATTTTCTGCTTCCTATTTAGTTAGGAAACGCTAAACTTATATATAGCAAACATACATTTTTACATTATTTTTACATCTAGAAGAAGTAGTTAAACAAGTTAATAATTTAGTTAATCATTTTGAATCGATAAAACATAGTATACCGTAGTTCATGTTAATGCAACAAATCCTATCTTATCATAGCTTATCGCAAAATATGTTAACAAGAACAGAATATCTAATAATTACTCTTCAGAAAAAGATTAATAATTTAATTCCTTATGTAAGACATAAAAGAGCTCTAATAAATGCAATTGGAAAAATTAACAAATGGGTATTTGGTAATCTTGATTCTGATAACGAAGAAAGATAATAATGCTATCAAAACATTTCAAGTAAATCAAAAAAATAATATACAAAACGCTTGTTGATCATTTTAATAAATCAATCACAATCTTAATCAAAAATTAAGAAAAATTTAAAGCTGATATGGACAAAATTCAAGCAGCTATTTATAATAAAATCGATACACTTGAAAGTTATATTAGTTTTCAGGCCATTACGTCACAAATTGATTTAGATTGTCAAATGGCAATTTCTTTTATAACTAATTTAGAAAATGCCATAACCTTTGCAAAATTTGCAAAAAACATGATAATATATTTACATAAAATATATAATGTTGATCAAATTCCGAAATTTACAAATTTATTAACGTATTATCAGTTCTTAGAAACGCAAGTATCAACTTCAGAATCCAAGTTAATTTTTGCAATACATTTTCTTATTTTTTACAGCAATACCTCTGAATTTTATCATTTATTCCCAAAAAATTTATTTCCCTATTTGGTACGAAAACATTAAGATACACAGTTTGAACAAAAAGAATGTCCATCCCTTGAAGAAATCTATTATTGTCAACAGAATTTTATCCCCAGAGATAATTGTACTCTCCAACTTCTTGAAGGAAAAATTTTGACAAATTGTCATATTTTAAATGTTAATTTAAAAGAATCAGTATTCGAACAAATCGCAGTCAATGAACTCTTAATAATTTCGTTAAAACCTCAACAAATTCTTTCAAAATGTAACAATACCAGTATATAGACATAAGTTCACCTGTATTAATCAAAATACCAAAATCATGTGAAATTCGGACCAATAAAAGAAGATATATCAACAACATTCAACTGAGCAGAGGAAAGCCTTTCATTCTACCAAAGATCGACATAAGGAAATTTTCAAAACTTGGAAATCTTATCAAACTTCTAATACCTATACTAAATTAGATTTTAATGATTTATATGAAATTAATCAAATTTATAAACAATTAAAGCCAATTAAAGAAATTCAAAATAATTTTAATTATTCAAGCACCTTTGGAACAATTTTTGTAATTTTTATTTGCATAATTATTTTAATAATAATTAAATACAGAAGACAACTTTTAAGAAAATATAGAAGAAAGAATAAAGAAAACGAAGAAACTGAATTAGAAAGTCCCACAGAAGGTGTTTTGAAAAATAACTCCATATATTTTTAAAACTTAAGCAGGGAGTAGTTATATATTGTGAACATAATAGACTCTTTTATGTTATAATTAAATTGTCTTTGCTTAATAATCATTTTTAGTTTATAAATAGGAGTAAAAAATTATTATTATTATTATTATTATTATTGTTATTTGAGGTAGCTTTAGTGTAGGATTTAGTCAAGAGAGTTGTCTTAAATATCTATTTAATTGTATTTTTGCTTAATAATTTTTTTAAAAATAAAAGTTCCGTTTTGGAATTTGTAACTAGCGCATGCCGCATGTGACGCGCACTTTTATCAGCTTGGAAGACGACCTTTGTTGTAATGTATCGATGGAAGACTATTATTTTTAATTTTCTTATTACAAAAATAAGCATCACACTTAATTTCAGCTTTCCGAATATAATTTTTTTTTGCTTATTTAGTTGGGTGGAATACGTACTTTGTCGTGAAATTCAGGTGGAAGATATTTTCTAAACTTTATTTGTTTAAATAAACGTGTACAAGTTTCATGCATGCGAAAATTATTTTTTTTATAATTTTTTTACTGTAATTGCAACCCTCCTGCAACCTCCTATCGTAAGGGTGCATCGAAAGGCGTTCAAAATGACCCGGAAATTTCTGTCGTTACCTCCTGGTCTATAAAGCCTTTGGTTTTCCGAAGCCATGTTTTATTAATTAATCATTCAGTAAACACGGCATGCGTGGAAATATGAGCAAAAATTACCTTTTATTTCTGTTAAGGAAAATCGAATTTTCCATATGTTATTCCCAGGAGCCATTCGTAAATTTCCTTTCATTCTATTTAACATCGATGTACTTTTCAACCCTCTATGCGAAAATGGGGCTCCTAAATCTGTCACTATCTGACGGTCTATAAGAAACACGCGAATAAGCGAGTGAGCGATAAATCCACGTTTTCGAGAAAATAAAAAAGAGGTAGCATTCGGTATTCTACATAACACAGATATTTAGTTTTTTCTTAATTTTTAAAATGATATGGACAGTTTTATATTATTTATTAGTGTACTTTTGAAACACCTCGTATAATCGATTTCATATGAAAAGGTCGAAAGATTATCACATTTTAATATGTAAAAATAAAACAATTTATTTTGATACTACATTCAAAACAATGTCAGTGAAACTTGTTATTCTTATTCTAATACTCACAGTAATTATTTTAACAACTACAGATTCAAGAAGATGCAACCCTTACTATCTAAAACATTCCATATACTTCTACAGCGTCAAGGAAAATTTCAACTACTATCCTTGGCATACTTACCAACAACCTGAAGGAAAAGTAAAATATTTACAAGTACGTGGCCCTCAACATGTACCAGAAATTTGCAAAGAATCTTCAGTGTCTTATAATACAGTACAAGAAGTAATTTTTTATAAAATAGAATTGGAATATATTGAACCAGGGTACTTTCACAGCAGACATTTAGAACAGGTATATATCCAATATAATAAATTGAAAAATATACCAATGGGTGTCTTTAACGGTACCAATTTAAGAAGCATAGTTCTGGCTGATAATCAAATAGAAACTATTGAACATGGTGCATTTCAAAATATGCATAATTTAGAAGCCATTGCTTTGGATTACAACAAAATCAAGATATTTAGTCCTTATTGGTTTGATGGAGCTAAGGTACTATATGAAATATCCTTCATACATAATAATTTAACAGAACTACCATTTGAAACAACAAAAAACGTTGCCGATTCTGTATATAAACTAGGATATGAAATTTACGGATCAATCTATTTTGACAACAACAATATCAAGTACATTCAATCGGATGCTTTTAGAAACTTAAAAAATTTCGGTACCATCAGCTTGAGCAACAATCAACTTTTGGAAATACCTGAGAAGCTTTTTCAAGGATTCGAATTTCTGTTGACAGTCTACATGAACACTAACTCCTTTATTTGCTTCAACAATAGAACGATACAAAGTATGTCGGGTGTGAAAAGGTTGTTTTTGGGTAATAATAATTTTAATAAAGACTGTATGGATAGATTGAGAAGCTTCTTTGATTGGAAAAATGATTTGGTGTATTTTTAGTTGTTACTATTTGTATTTGTGTCAAGTAATTATTAATAACATTTTGAAACTGTTGCGTATTTTATTTATAAAATTGATCTTTGGTACTGTCAATGTAAGTATTTAAGATTTTATATTCACAAAGAGTATTAATCTATAACAGTAAAGATAAAAATCTGATGTGTCCAACACATGACTTTCCTATCTAGTTATTACAGACTTTTTCCGGTTATTTTGTACAACCTATTGCAGCACCTCTATAAATGTTTAGAGGAGGATAAAATAAATATATACATTTTTCACATACATCTACCTCGAAACATTTTTCTATAGCTATTCATTGAAAACGAAAATACTGAAAAATTTAAATTTAGCACTTTTCCTATAATTTTTCCATTACGGTCCATTTTAGAAAAATCATGTATAAACAAAAATTATAGAGATCGATATCGCAAATAACTTTTATTTGAACAATTTTTTTTTCCAAACATAAATAACAGATATATTCCATAAAATATAAAAACGGCCCCTCATAAAGTACCCCCCCAGATGTTCCGACTTTGTCCAAAATCTAATCATTTCACGTCAGGCTGAAATAAAACTTAAGTTTAAAATTTAATGTTTTTTTCTTTATCCGTTTTTGAGTTTTCTTCAAATTTCGAAATTTACACATTTTCTCAAATTTCTCGAATACGGTCCATTTTAGAGAAATTATGTAGGGAATAAAAATTATAGAGAATTATATTACAAACAACTTTTGTTTGAACAATTTTTATAAAAAAATATTTTTTTACATTTTGTCAAATTTCTCGAATACGGACCATTTTAGGAAAATTTTGTATTGAACAAAAATTTTAGATAATAATATAAGAAGTAACTTTTATTTGAAGAATTTTCTTCCCCAAACGTAAATAACAGATATATTCCATAAAATATACAAATTACCACCTATAAAGTACCCCCCAGATGTTCCGACACTGACCAAAATCTAATCAGCACATTGGACGCTGGAACAAAGCTTAAGATTAAAATTTGCTGTTTTTCTGTGTATCGGTTCATGAGTTATGCGACACACAGACACACACACAGACATCATCGCGAAAATAGTCAAAACGGATTCAGGGGACCTCAAAACGTAAAATTCCGTCGAAAACTCGAGGTCGAAAAAAATCATGATTCCTATACTTTCCTTATATCTGTATACAGATAGGAAAGTAAAAAGATCTTTTTCAAAAATTTTTATAGCATTAAATTTGCCCAGTTTAAATTTCCAAATTGAAGTTTTATTTGAAACATTTCTAGTTATATAAATAAATAAAATTATTTCGCTAACTATAATTAAAAACAAAATAAATGAATATCATAAGTTATAATTTATTAGGGTAAATCCAGAAGAAATGGTACACTTTTTTTAAAATCGACGTTAATTCTTTATTATTAAAAGGAACATTAAAATACCCTGTAGGTTTACAAACTGTAACCAGACAAACAACATAGTGGTCTTAAATATCAAAAAGATCAAAGTAAAAGAACGTTATACTAAGTTAAAAAAAAATAGATATGTTCCATTTCACCTTAAACCTATAGGATATTTGGTACACATGATTAAGTGAGATGGGACGCCTACATTGACTTGTGAATAATTTAGGTAAAGATGGTACATTTAACATGGAAAACAGAGTTAAAAGAGCATACATTGCTTATGAACAACGTCATCGAAACGTGGGGCGCATTTTGAGTTTCTCCCCCAGAGTCGTCACATGGACTTACGCTGCTGTCATAAGACCTATGCTTATATAAGGTGCAGTTGTCTGGGTACCGAAAACTCAAAAATTAACAGCTATCCGTAAACTAGAACAAATTCTCAACATAACAGGAGCCATTAAAACAAGACCGAACAGAGCCGTGGAAGTCATTCTTTATCTCACTCCCCTTAATATTTACATCAAGGAGGTTGCTCTGACGACAATGATCTGCCTCCCCGCAGGGTTGGAATAGAAGCTGATGTAGGATCTGGTGGGGCGAGATGTCGCTTTTGACAGGAGGCGCTCGATACGCTTCCACTGCTTCAAGTGAAGATGAACCCCAAGTTATATCTTCTTCAAGCCATATAAAGTTATAATAGAACAAATAGAAGAGCCGGAAGTGGCAGGTACGATTCATATCTACACCGATGGTTCTAAAATAAAACAAGGCTCAGGATGCGGAATATACTCCAGATTCTTAAACTTAAATATAAAATGGGCTGTGGGCAATAGTGCCAGTGTAGTTCAAACAGAGCCAACGGGGATTCTCATAGCAGCAAAAGAAATCACCAGAAATAATATCACTGAAAGAAACATGCATACAGATAGCAGATAAGCACTACTCACCCTGAACAGACCACGAATTTACTTAGGATTAGTACTAGAATGTCACGAAGCTTTGGCCGAAGTATCCATCAACAATGTGGTCACCTTAAGATGGATCAAAGGTCACGCCACATCAAAAGGTAACCGTCTCGCTGATTCACTAGCTAAGAAAGCAGCCAACCAAATACTTGTTGGACCTGGCCCTTCTATTGGCCTGACAAAATTGGTAGTGACGAACCTAATTAAAGAACATTCCCTTGTGAAATTCAAGGAAAGATGGGATGAAACAAGAAACTGCAGAGTTGCCAGGGAGCTCTGAAGTTATCCTGACAACACTGCAGCAAACAAATACTTGACTATGACTAGACAGAATCTGCGCCCAGTCACAGGCATTCTGACTGGTCATTGCCAAGTACGAAATCATCTCCATATCATAAGGCTGTCAGAATGCGAACAAGCAAATTATACCATCAAGCATATCCTTTACAATTGCTGAACGCTCTCATTTATTAGAAGATTTGTGGTCGGCAAGTATCGGCTAAGACCGGCCGATATAAGAGAAGCAACTCTTGGCGACGTTGTCAACTACATTAAATCTGTAGGCTGGCTCAAGAGCTAGGAGATGCCTATCATCTTGGGAGGATGTACATTGGGCCTAGTGCCGTGGGGGGTAACCCACCCTCCACACGTTACAGATACAGATACTTTTTGATTTGACACACCTTTTTACCGCAACTGTCACAAAAATTTAAATATTTTGATCAGCTATTATGCATCTATATTCGACAACTCAAACATTCTATATAATCATCTTCTTTGTGGTTTGGTTATAGTTTTCACTTCAACCAACGCATTGATCGGTTTCCTCGGACAGATCAGAGCTATCATCACAGATGAGCCCTTCATGTTCAGACGATGATGACTTCTTAGTCGACTTCTTCTTGGCTGCATTTTTAAAAATTTTCTTTTCAGTCTTCTTTGGCTTTTGCTTGATTTTTGAGTTTAGTTTCTGTTTCTTCTCGCTAATATTCTCCATGCTTGTTAGCTTACTACCAAGCTGTTTACTTCTCTTTTTTAGGCCTTTGGTTTGAATTTTCGGCACGGGTGAAACAATATCAAGAAGATTTTTCCAGGTATCTCGTCCTCGTCATGAGCAATACTTGCAACCATTTATTTCGTCGTATGCTATGTAACCAGAATATTCCGGTTGTGCCAAATCCTCCAGTAAACCGGTAAGGTCATTTCTTGGATCAGTATCTTCTGATTTATCATTAACAATCGATAGACTAATAGTCCAAGCGGCGACCGCCGTAAAAAGGTGGTCATCCAGTACAAGTACAAAAATATATTTTATTACTTTTAGGGTATTAGATAAATAACAAACCATCGGTCTGGTAGTCTATGACTTATCCAATTTTTTTTTAAATAAAATTTGTACTTTATTTTTTTTTTTTTAAATTGATCTACATAACTTAAACATAATTTTTTAGTTTACGATGGCGTTTTGACCAAATGAATATAGAAATTCAAGTCTGGCGTTCTTATTCTTGACGCAACTGATTGTCAGACCAACCCCAACAAATTTATTACAACAACAAATTTTCTATACAAGGTATAAGAAAAAATCAAACGTCAAAATTTTTATTTTTTATTCCTCTTTCGAATAAAATTGGTCTGGCACGTTCATCCTTGACCAAAATTCTGCCAGACCAAGATTAAGCAAGTCCTTCTCTACTGCTTGTAAAGTGCGAGTTGTTTTGGTTTTTGACATAATTGACATCATTAAAATCTTAACCTGTTTATTTTTTTTCTTCTATTGAATAAATGAGAAGTTAATATTGTTTAAAAAAATTTTTTATTATCACACAATACATGTAGGTTATTCAGGAATTTTTATCATTGAAACTATAGGTTTATGGTAACTGAAATAAGAAACATAAATTTGAGACTCGATATCCTCTAAATATCTGGAAAATACCGCGTCAATGGTGGTTCCATATTTTGTTGTGGATTCATTTTCAAATTCAATTTTTTCGAAATTGTGTCTAAAAGAGAGAATCAGTTATGAGCAGTTAGCAGCTAGTCTACACGCATACGTCTAGTCGCACACACACAAACACCGTGCCGAAGTCTGCCGAACTGAAACGACGTCAGACGATGCACGGCTTTTAACGCCGCACAGCTGTGCCGGTCGGAGTGGGGGGGTGTTAGGTTTATTTTCGTTACGGAATTTCTTTTTCGATTTTACGATTTTACGATTTTACGATTTTACGATTTTCCGATTTTACGATTTTACGATTTTTCGATTTTTCGATTTTTTGCTTTTTCGATTCAAAGCCCGCGATAAAATCTATGCAATAGCTTAATAATGAAATAGTTAACACTGACAAAATAAAAATTAATATTTTATAAATCTTGCAAAAAAAATTAATATCTAATATTTACGCCAGCCAGGAACATTTGTGATACCAATTTATTAGAAGCCAGAGAAAGCTCTTCTAGTTCTTGTATTGCATAAACGTTTCAGTCCGCAGACGTATATTTAACTCCGCTTCATACTAATATGAATAGGGTCGGATAAAACCGTCCACGGCTTTCAAGTTGAAAGTTTCAACGACGCACCGCTGTGCCGGTCGGAGTGGGGGGTGTAAGGTTTATTTTCGTTACGGT